GCTTTTTATTAAAGGCGACACGATCCTGCGTTATCTTCATACAGTACTAATCTGCATCCATTTTATTTAAAGCTATCTATCGGAAATATAAATGTAAACTGGTTTTCTTCAATACTCCATTCATACAATGATTTTACCCAAAATTTTCCTACACTTTAAGTCATATAATACAATATAAGAAACAACTTACGAATGATGAAGAGCTAGACAGGTAACTAAGTAGGAAATTTGAAGAGTATTTATACAACAGGATTGTTAGGAAAGAGAGGGAGAACCACCTAGAAGGAAAAGTACTAACAGAACATGTAAAGACTAGTTGAAATTGAATAGAACAGAAGTAACTATTAGTAAGGGGTGTTATGTAAGTTGTTATGGATGACGATAAAATCCTAGGTAAAGATAGCGATAGCGGAACAATAGGATTTAGTTTGAAGTAAATAAAGTCTTTTCAATAAAGCATTCATTAATCAATTTAAAAGTTTTTCTCAGTTGAGTTTTCATCATAAGTTATGTATATGCTACCGGAAATGTATAAAAAAATCTAGGAATTATATACAATTGCTAGGAAATGTATACAATTTCGAGGCTATTTAGAAAATCTACGAAATGTTGTTTCAAAGAATTTTTAATATAGATACACATATCCTAGGAAATGTAACATTTTCTAGGAATTATATGAAATTTTGATATTGTACTAGGAAATGTATAAAACTAATACGTACTTTCTGTGAATAAAATGAATTCGCTCCGCTATCCCAACGTACCCACTGACATCTTGAATGTAATACATTTCCTAGGAATTGTATACAATGACGGTTTACACACATTTCCATTAACATGTGCAATTAAATAATTTTAATACAAAAGTTTAATTTAATTTTTTTATGCAGTTATCATTCCCGTGTTCTATTTTAAAATTCTATGTATTTTTGAAAAATCTATGATCATTATCAAAAGTTATGAATGACTATAAAATTTCGGTAGTGTCCTAGCCATCCATCCCGAGCACCTGCACGATTCCAATTGCTCTATCGCATTTATGATTTACTACTTGTTTTGTTCGTAAAATTAACAAAAGCGAGAATGACTTATAAATATTCCCATAAAGCGGTACCTATAAATGCAAATAAAATTTCCGTTCGAAACGGAAATGGTATGAAAACGGGCTCGGAAAAACCACTCCTCTCTTTATTCGACGCAATAATTGTCATTGCCGCACGGCGATGCTCATTTGTATTTCGAATTTTATTCATTTGCATCAATCACGACAGGATGGAATTTGGAGAACGTCGTTGTTTTGACGCGCCGCAATTTATTATTGGGATCGCTGTGGCAGACCCCGACTAATGCGAAATATCGACGAGGGTGCCGTTTGAAATTGCGGAACCGAAAACACACGGAACCGAGACAAATGCGGACCTGGACCTATGATCGTCTCATTTTATACAAGTTGTTATTATCATTATCATCATAAGGTCGACAGTCCTAAGACTGGTTGGACACGCACCTCCACTCTTTCCTATCCTGAGCTAATCTTCGCATTTCCCTAAAACTAGAACCCACATCCTTAACTATTTCCGAACAGTAATCTAATCTAGGTCTACCTCAACCCTTCCTAATTCCCGTTTCTGCCTCTAATATGTCTCCGACTAGACCTTCATGCCTGAGAAGGTGTCCTACTAATCTAATTTGCCTATTTCTTATTGACTTCCATAGAGTCCTCTGTTCTCCTATCCTTTCTAATTCCTCATCATTCCAAATCTTCTCTATCCACGGTATATCCTCATCATTCGCCTGTAACACCACATTTCTAACGCTTCTAACCTTTTCTTTTCCGCCGCATCCACTGTCCATGTTTCGCATCCGTACAGCGCCGCGCTCCAAACATACACCTTTAACAACCTTTTTCGAATTTCTAAAGTAACCGTTCGTAAGTATTGGGAACCGTCAAATGGGCATACACCATCTGGTGGCAAAATTTATAACTCGAATGAGGGAAAAATTTACATAGGAACTGTGCACGCAAATTGTAAAATTGTTTATTAAAATAATAAAACACGTTAAAAAAGTAAAAATTTTTTTGATGATGGAGTCGACGAAGTTTTCTTCTAAAGTTAAATCAAATAAAAAGTTAATATGTTCAGTGAAAAGCTGCAATAGCACTTCAGACATAGATCTTCACTCTTCACCTACATTAACTACTTTCCAATAAAAACTAACCGTTTTATATATGTAAAAAATATATTCGGAAAATTAGAGAAAAAAGTAAACTAATAGAAGCTTGGATGAAAGCAGTAGGTATCAAAGAAGTGAATTCCGGAATAAAAATTTGTTCACGTCATTTTAATGCACATGATTATATTTCAGCAAGTATTTACCATCAGCCATAACCTTAATATTTAAAACTAGAATCATACTAAAATTATAAAGTGAGAAATTATTTATTCCTGTGTAATTGATTTAACACAATTCTAATGATACGATATAAGTATTTTGAGGTTAAGAACCTACCTGCTGCAATACAACAAAGTTGCAATAATGTGTTTGCAACGTTCTCTTAAATCGGCTTTGCACGTGCAAGTCATTGATATGATATTGCTTAAATCACCCAGAATCACCTCACCAATTATATAACGTGAATCACTTTTTAAATCCGAAGTTTGTAAAAAGTAGGCAGTAAACTTGACGGAATTTGAAGGCTAGCTTCCGGATTTGTTATTTCCGAATTTTATAATGTGATTGGCATTAAAAACACGCTCACCTTCAACGAAATTTCCTTTCCGAGGCTTTGTGTCAGCCCAATCACATATTGTGTCAATACTTATCATTTTATCGTAATTTAAAAACTTGGAAATTGCACGGTACACTATAGGAACTACGATAAATTTTCCCTAATCGGCGCCATGTTTTTAGGCTCCTCCCATTTGACGGATCCCGATAGAACTGACTTCTTTTTATTGAAGGCGACTCGACCCTACGCTATCCTCTGCTTTATATCCCTACTACTCCTTCCGTCCTGACTTATCTGACTTCCTAGATATCAGTCACTTCTTCTAATTTTTCATCTTTATTCTCTATTATTTCTTCCCTTGCATATCAGTATTTTTGTTTTACTTTTATTTATTTCATTCATACAGTTCTGTTTTTAAATGTATTACCTACCATGTTATCGAAAATTGAATAGATTGGTATTAAATATTTAATGCACTACCAACGAATCGTCCGACTATTGTAATGCAATATGATAAATCCCGTCGTTGTTGTTGTTTAAAGTTTTCCACTTGCCGCTGATGTGAAAGCTTTATTTGTGCTTTATTAGGTATATGCACGCAAACATGCGTACTAATTATAATGGTATATATCCAGTAGTTTGCATTATTAAATTATTATTATAATCATCGCTGCCCGCGTTTTGTCTCGTTGTTCTTAATCGGGCTGCTGTAATCGTAAAGTGCGGCGAATGGAATAATTAGCGGGATTGTGAAGTTCAACAGGAAAGTTTTCGAATGTCTGGACGCGATCGTAAACTGTTAGTAATCAGGACCTATAGAACTCGGTGCGACATAACAGACCCTTTAGTTAAAACGTTTCAACAGTTTTGCATTAATAATAAAAGTGTATGCTGTTTTGTTCTAGAACGATAAGGTTTCAGAGTGAAAAATTTTGTGAAATTCGACAGAAGAAGGTGCATCGCAAACCTCCATTTTACACCTTTAGGGGTAGTATTTTGAAAATTTATTTTATACTGGATGATACCTTCAGAAATTTTTTGACTCATTAGTACAACAAATTTTGAACTCTTTTTTTACCGTTTTTAGAGTTGAATTTTAAAAAACTATTCTTAGTGGTCACCTCCTACCTTGTGTAAAGAACATCTCTGCAAAATTTCAAGTTTCTAGACCTAGGGACTTAGGATGTGCATCAATATATGTGTTAATTTATTTGTTTATTTAGGGTCCGTGGCTTTTTAATTTCATTTTTAATAAAGTGATCATAATTTCAAGTTTCCTATTAATCTAATAACACTATATATTAAGCGGTTAGTCAGTATTGGCGGAGTCATAATAAACGAATTCCACTGTATATCACAAATTACTGTGCGTCGTTTTCTATTATGGTAGCTGACACATGGATTTTCTTCCTACAAGGCAACGTATACTGCAACGAACATAGGCTTTCTGAAGCTGCAAACTTGAGTTTATACTACTCTAACTGACCCTATCAACATATTCAAAAATAAGGTCGACATCACGCTTTACGATTTCGGACTTTTTTAATGCAGGCATTCTACTGGCCTATCTGGGATAGGAATGAGAACGAAATGATCAAAGCTGGAAAGATACTGGCGATAAATCTTTTGTACTTTACATACTTTCACTTATCTACGACACTTTTATCGTCATGTTTAAAGTTTTATATTAATTTATTCGAAAATTAAATAAATCCTTTAATACGTTCTAGTGTCTAATAAAATGGGAGTTTCTTGAAGTAAAACGGTCATAAAGGCACATAATAATGGAGCCCAAACCATTATCGTTTCCAGTAAATCCGTTCGTATAACGTGTACATATTTGATACGGAAAAGGACTTAAGGGAAATCCCCTCGGAAGACGTCGTAGTATTCGACTATAAAGGCGCGGCAAAGCTTCTGCACTAGCGAAAAACCATTTCTCGACTCCGTGTGATGGATTTTTCCAGATGGCGCTTTATGAGCGGAGTCAGATTAGTCTCCGAATTGCCGTCAACCGAATATAACATAGTGACCGGAAGCTAAAGGACCGGAAAACGCCGAATTTGCAGTAACGGTGACTACAGGCCATCCTCTCTTCTAACATATGTAACGATAGGAGCGGACTGATACACCAACAAATGCGATCATTTAGCTGCTAACAGCTTATCGAAAGATAAAGAAGCTTTTTGTTATTATAGAAGACACTGAAAGCTTGGTACATTGTACATACAGTAACATAAATTGATAAAATTTAGATAAGTACACTTACATGGATCAGATATCATCCTCCCTTCAGTAAATGGACTGTGAAATCCTTCTAGAATCTGATGGGGGTACACGACCTATAAAAACAGATAGATACATAAAAAAAAATCATAAAACTGTAATTATATGCTAGAAACAAAAGTAGATGAGTCGATATCGATTTCAGAGGGTTATTGTCTTTAGCTTGTTCATTTAATAAAATACGATTATAATGTTCAAAATGCAGGAATTGAATGTTGAATTTAATTAATGTTGTCAGCAAATCAGCAGACATTAAGTATGTCCTTGTCGAAGTCATTTCGAAAATCGTCGTGGGATATCGGTTTTATTATACTAGGCCTAACAAATCATAACATAGTCATGCCCATTATTGAAATGCATGCTTCCCCAATTTTGTTGTTAATTTATCATTAACATTATAATTTTTTACCAAACTAAACCCTCGAAGTGGCAATGTATGTAACAGTTGTTAGACATGTAGATTTACCTCACATTACCGTGTTAAAGTAGTTATCGTTTTTGGGTATGGTATTGGGACTAGAATGTATTGTCAATAATAGCAGATTAATAAGTAATTATCACAGTAAATCTTGACTTTACACAAAGCAAACACAAGAGTCAATATAAAACCAATTTAGCATGCACTTCTAGTAGAATTATTAATTCTACATATACAAGACTTATTTTCGGGAATTTAAAACAATCTGTAGCACAACAATCAATATTCTCATAGAACCACCGGAATTTATTGCGAAAATTAATTTTCGAAGTTGATCAGACGAGCACTTGTTGTTCTTAGTAAAGCAGAAACCCAATAAATTTTGAAAAGCACCGCTTAACACAGATAAACAATTAATTTTGTTGAATCGGCGTGCCGCACCGTAATATCCTCTATACTATTACCAGGAGTCTCATACCAAACCAAATTCAATTGACAATCAATTCATCAATATACAACGTAATCAATGCCTGGCGTTGAATAAAACCATATTAGAAATTGTACAGAGTTAATAAATATTAATTTAAGTCAAAACGTAAAAGATTAAAACGTTTAAATTGGTAAATAATAGCGATTTAATTGGAATTAAATAAATGAATAAAACAATGCTCGACATGGTACAAACGAAATGAATATTGTTTTCCGGATGTAGTTTAATTGTTAATAAATGAAGAAGTAAAACAATGTTTGTGGAGAACTTTTCAGTAGGTAACTCAATGTATATAAAGGTACGAAAATTTGTAACTACAGTAAAAAGATTTCTACAGCAACATTTTAAAGATAAAGGCATTGTCTCTCTCGTTGGAAGAAAAATTTTTGTGGACACAAAGAAGTGAATATGTACTTATTTACTCAAAACCATAACAAAAATTGTTTTTAAACCAACCATATGCAAAATTTTTTTCGATGGGACACTTTCTCAGGCGTGAATAACTACTAATTAAAGACATATCAGAAGAAGAAATAGGAGTCAAAAAGAGTAAAGGTAGACTTAGATTAGATTACTGTTCATAAATAAACAGTTAAGGGTATGGAATGTTTTAGTTTAAGGGAAATGCCAAGATTAGCGCAGGATAGGAGAAAGTGGTCAACAAGTCTGAAAACTGACAACTTATGATGATGATGAGATCTTAATAATTAATACCGTTCATAAATATTCTAAACAAGGCAAGAATGAAAATTTTGCTTTGTAATAATCCAAAAATTCAAAGAGCATTTTCCACAACTAAATATTCTAGAGGTAGTTTAGAATCTCATGGGTCATGCCATTGTGTTGCACAGGGACAATACTCCGCCTATTCGTTAACCTTTACCTATCGCTAGAAACATCGATCGTCTGGCAATTATCGTTTAACACTTGATTCTATAATTGCGAAATATACTTACAACATGAACCCAGCAACATTGCTCGCGTATTTCGCGGTCCAGGATATTCTTTTATAAAACCTCTACCTGCTTAGTTGACTCAGAAGGCAAAGTGTACACGATGTAACCCATTTGTTGTGAGGATTATCTTGAAGGCAGTTGAACTGAATATAATGGATCGTTTCTTGAAATAATCAATCACCTCACAACTGCGAGTCAGAACTAAAGTTTACACTCAACACCTGCTCGTTGTTGTTCAAGTTTATTCGAATTCTATTTCAGATGGTTTAACACACTTACGTATGTAGACTTAGGAACTGGAGCAAGTTATTTAATTGCTCGAAATAAATCAGAAATATACGAACGATTACAGCACGCTGACGCAGGAAATGCAAGAACTTCTTATAAGCGTACCCAGCTTCTGTCCTAGGGGGGGGGGCAACTCAGATTTTTTTTAGGTTAGATCGTCCGCGGCTGTTTTGTCATACACACTACACAAAGGCACCTACATGAAACATTAGGTATATGTAGGGCAAACAGCCGCAAATGATCCTGCTTTATAGGCAGTTAAGGATGTTTGGGAGGTATGTCAAAATGCTATGAAACAAATAAAATTTTGGAAAAACGTTCCTCATACAATTCTAAAACTCCTGTAACAATTACAAATCGATTCACTAAACCGTTAAGAAGTTATTGAAATTTTAAGAAATTGTAATTTTACACGTCATTTTATGGAGATTCGTTAACCGCACAGATTAAATTTATTTTTATTAACAGAAAAAAAGCTACCAGAAATTTCAAACTTTTATAATAAGTAACTTGAACTCTGGAGAATCACTTTAGCGTAAGGTTATTCAAATTCACTAAATGGTTATCGAGGAAAAAATGAAAAATTAGCTGAAAATCTCGTTTTTACTTGATAATATAATGATAATATTTATAATTGTCTGAAATAAATGCAATTTTAAAGTTTTAATTATTATTTAAACATATTAAAAAGTTTTACGCTCATTATTAATAGAGATTAAAACTAAATATTTTTTTGTTTCGAAGTTGAAATCAAGGCATATTCACTACCGTAAGTCAGTTAAAAATTTTCCATATTATTCGTTATTTCTTATTTTATTCAAAGTTTTTGGTGAAATTCCAAATTTTCTCTCAAACCGTATACTTTTTTTTAGTGTAGATAGTATTTATTTACCTCATGATATGCTGCAAAACCGAATTAATCACGAATTTCTAGTTTTATGTACTCTTGTCTCCGATTGTACCTCCCAAACATCTTTAAATAAATAAAAGCAAATTTGACTATGCATTTTTATTTTATTTTAATTGTTTAATTCGACTTCTACTATTTTATTCAAAAATGAGCATACAAGGCCCCGTTTACACTTTAATTAGTGATTAGGCGAGTTCATACATTTTCTGCGAGATTTCGAGTGGGGGGCAGCTGCCCTCCCCTGCCCCCCCCCCTGGGTACGCCCACGCCTATTGTTCTCCTTTTTTAAGTAATTTATGTAAAATTATTGTCAAAAACAAAGTCAAAATACAGCCAATAACATTTACCTTTATGCTTTAATATGTTTTATTTTATTTTATTTGACTTGTCGAACTGAATTATCACGTGATAGGCACAATAATGTGCTGAAGAAAAAGTAAGATTGACCACCAAGATTTTTTGTTGACTCTGTGATTTACAGATATCTTCTTTATTTCCTGTCAATTGTTTGAGAAAAAACGCTTTAAATGTTTTTTGTGTTAGTGCATGATTTCCGAAGTCGTCCAAAAAAAGATTTCTGTGGCTCACTTCGTACGGTTACACAAAAAATTTAAATAAAGGGACGACTAACTGATACGATGTCACTCAGAAGGGACCAGGCATTTAGATTTGAAGAGATTTCGAACCGAAGTCGTTCCATTAATCCAAAATCTTTTCGTTTCCATCGAATATTGCGGGCGGATGGAATGCCTATTATACGTATAAAAAAAATAAAAATAAATTCGAAGAAGCTTGACGACAGTTGAACCGTTGCGGCGAATGGGGTGGATGTTGGGGTGGTGGTGATGCCCTTTGTGACATTGACAAGGGTCATATACGTGTTTGATCGAACCGTACCGACAAACTCGCGTCTGTCACCATCGAATGAGATGGTGATTAGGACAAGGAGGAGGATAGCGATTGCGGGAGGGTGAGGGAGGGTGTGTGCGGATTTCGGAAATATTGTCGGCGTCGAAGGTTTCTCCGTTTTAGACCCGATTTCGAATTAACTCGACGATGGCGATGGTCGTAAAAAAAAGGTAATAAATGGCATCGGCGAATTTGCAAACACGACGAAATAATTCGGAGAAATAGTGGACCGTGATGGGGTGAGTTTATATGTGAAAAAATTTTCAGCCTTCACCGTAAAAAATCGGGCTCGTAAACTTTATTTTACTGCTTCTCTTTTGTCGGCCACTTGATGTTTTATTTTACGTTTATTGTCATTTATTGGGAACATTTTTGTTTTTACTACTCCATAGGACAAATTTAATTGCCTCAAGCGGTATTAGATTTGTTTACGAGGATTCTAATTAGCTCTAGTACGTAATATAAGTAACAAAATGTTTAAACAACTGTCAACGAATCCTTTAGGATGGTCGCAAAGGTAGAACATTTATTTAGTGGTCGTGTAATTCCACCTCGAATACGTCAAAATTAGTAATTTTTAACAAATTGTAAGAATATGATCAACATCTTGGATATCGAAAGTGTTAACTAAATTACAGTTTAACTGTGTCATTAAACGTAATAAATTTAATAAACACCAGAATAATTTTATAACGATTTTCATGGACACGCACCTCCACACTTTATTATCCTGAGCTAATCTTCGCATTTCCCTAAAACTAGAACATCCTATATCCTTAACTATTTGCGTAATCTAGTCTGGGTTTACCCTAGACAAAAAATTTCAGTCTCTCAGAGTCTTTCAGCGTCTCTCACATTTTTTCAGTCTCTCAGTTATTGTCTAGGTGTTTTTATGGATCTCTCATAGTCTCTGTATGAGAGACTCGAACGATAAAATTGTTAATTCAGAGATTCGAGTCTCTCGTAGAAAGACTGGGATCTCTGAAATATATTGAACTTGGAAAATTTTAACCATGTCTATCGAGACACCACTTATTGATAGATTCGAGTCTCTCGTTCAGAGATTTGAGTCTCTCGTTCAGAGA